GGGGGGGGGCAAATGCCCCCCCAGCTTATATGTTAAAAAAGGCCCTGGCATGATTTGAACCAGGTGAAGCCTTGTTTTCATGTTTACTTGCGGAGCATTTAAATATTTTAATGTTCTCAAGCAAACAAGTTGCGTTGATCTGCAATAGACCTTTCCGGTAATTATGTCACGACTAACTCTAGCTGTTTTCAACTTAGAATCACCTTAAATGGAATGGATTTTAAGTTTGTTTCTCACGGGCTATGGTCAGTGGAGCAGAACAACCTTCTTCAACACATGCATAAAAAGGAATTTTGGATTTTGACCAATAAATGTGGAAATAAGCTTAAACACGATGCCATGGCCCCTCAGCCTCGTATTCGCTTCTCAATTCTCATCCTCGTTTTATTTAACCGCTTCCAGACGAAGCCAAGTCATGCCCCTCCAATATACATGAGAGATTTTGCCACCGCGTGGTCAGGCAAACCTTTCAGCTTGCCCGGTGTGGATGCACACTCAGAGTAACATCAGAAACATCATATTCACCTCAGTACATAGAAGTCAAAGTAACTTTTAGTTTCCCATCAATTTCTAGACATAAAATATATTTTAGTTTTACAACTATATACTAATTGTCGACCATCAGTCATTTCATTAATTTACATAATATATACTTCACATCACGGCAAAATATTTTTAATCTTAAGACAAAACTAGCATCCATTGATTAAATATCCCTGATCAGTCCTCGTAAATTTCCTCCAGAATTCTGCCTCGCATATATCTGCCTGGTACAATACCCAATGCATTGAGAACCGTTACAGGCATATCAAGACTGGAATAATCACGATATTTCAATTCATCCAAGTCCACGTTCTTGATTCCCGGCCCTGTGAAAACAAAAATCAGTTGAATCTTATCAATAATCGATGACCCTTACTGGACTTCTAGGAAGAACAGTTTAGAACTGATAGAGCTATCCAGTATACATAAAATTAGTTCAGTTTAGGTTTCCTCCTGTCGTAACACTAGATCAATAAGAGCTTACCCTTACTGGTCCTCTAGGAAGAACAGTTTTAGAACTGATATAATTATCCAGTAAAAATAAAGTTAGTTTTGTTTAGATTTCCTCCTGTAGTAGCACTGGATCAATAAGAGATGCTCCTTACTGGACCTCTAGGGAGAACAGTTTAGAACCGATAAAGCTATCCATGCAGTATAAATAAAGTTAGTTTTGTTTAGATTTCCCCCTGTAGTATGACACTGGATCAATAAGAGATGCTCCTTACTGGACCTTTAGGGAGAACGGTTTAAAACTGATAGAGCTATCCAGTAAAAATAGAGTTAGTTTTGTTTAGATTTCCTCCTGTAGTAACACTGGATCAATAAGACATGATCCTTACTGGACCTTTAGGGAGAACAGTTTAGAACTGACAGAGGTATACAGTTTATAAATACAGTTATTTAGTTTTTTTAATTAGGTTTCCTCCTGTAGTAACGCTGGATCAATAAGCGATGGTACTTACTGAATCTCCACGGACCCTTACTGGACCTCTCGGGAGAACAGTTTATAACTGATAGAGCTATGCAGCATCGATAAAGTTAGTTTAGTTTAGGTTTCCTCCTGTAGTAACACTGGATCAATAAGAGATGACCCTTACTGGACCTCTAGGAAGAACAGTTTAGAACTGATAGAACTATCTAGTATAAATAAAGTTAGTCTAGTTTAGGTTTCCTCCTGTAGTAACACTGGATCAATAAGAGATGACCCTTACTGGACCGCCAGGAAGAACAGTTTAGAACTGATAGAACTATCTAGTATAAATAAAGTTAGTTTAGTTTAGATTTCCTCCTGTAGTAACACTGGATCAATAAGAGATGACCCTTACTGGACCTCCAGAAAGAACAATTTAGAACCGATAGAGCTCATTACCTCGCAACAAGAGTGGCACATAAACCTCTGCAATGAATGGTGGGTTCAAATTGTGATTATTTTTATATCCTCCGTGATCTGCAACCATGGCAACAATCGTCTCTTCAATCATAGGCTTTCCTGATGAAGTTTTAGTTGTAGCCAGAGCTTCTAAGATTGCCGCCACTTGCATGTCTTTCTGCTTGACCATTTCATAATATATGTCGCTTCCCCAGTAACTGCTGTGACCAGCTCCGTCTACAGCATCTGAATAGGGGCGAAAAAGATCGTTGTCAACTCAAGAATGGGGAATGTAGGAGTAGAAATAAGTGTAGTCAACTGAAAAAAGGGAGCGGTCATTTTTTTATGGCGGAGGAAGCTCCGAAAAGATTTTAATGGTGATCCCACCATTAAAAAGTTCAAAAATAAACTTACCAAATCTCAAATATCAATTAAAAAATAAATATCTCGATCCCCTGGCCAAAAACATAACAAAAGGATACTGTTCACTTAATCACTTGTCACACATGTCCTTTACCACTTCTGTGAAAGGACTTCGATATAAACTGCTTGTGCAATTTTCTGCAGTCGAAATTTCGTGTTGTCCGCACATGTACTTCTTTGGAGACACCATTTGCCTCCTGACAAATCGGGAAATGATAAAGATAGTTACTCTGACTGATTCATTGATTTACATATTGTATTGTATTTGTATTGTATTTCCAAATCATTACAGAGGATAAACATTTCAGTAATCTACTGTTATCAATATATGTGTCCTCTATTTAACTAAATAGTCCATACTAAATAATCTATATAATATATACTATAATTTAATCATTGGTATAATAATTTTCTAGCAATTTCCGAAATATTTTGTTGTTGAATTTCGCAAAGCAAGTCATTATAAATTCCTGCCGCTGCAAAGCGAAAAGCATGTCTACCAAATTCAAGCTTTACTTCATATGACTGTTGACATTTCTTTTCAATCTTCAATATTTGAACGAGTCGTGCTTTGAAAATGACAATAAATTGTTATTACCCGACCCTTGAGTTGTTTTGTTTTTCATTTACCCAACCTTTTACTCACTCAAAATTTTGTTTACCCAACTCTTGGGAAATGCAAGCTGGTATGCCCAGGGCTTTGAACCTACCAAAATGAATGAATGTTAAAGTCGGTTGGTCTTTCTTGATCGCCTCGATGGTTTTCTTCGCGACACTCCAGTCTTGTCTGTTCAAACAATCAGGTTCACTCTCCGTTTTTCCACAAACGATTCCCTCGTGACCCCAAAACCAGTTGTCCACGTGCGGGTTTTGTTTGGCGATTTGAAGAAACCACAACCACGTGAACATTAACGCCGTCTTGAATATAAAAGAAAGCAAATAGGCTAGTGTGTGATCTATCTGGAAGATGCGCCATTCTATAATTATTGCTGTAGAATAACTGATAGGCCTAGGAAGACCCCACCGGGCACACGACGTTGTTTCAACGTTGAAATTTGGTAGAAAAAAGGTTGCGACGTCGACAACCTAATATCTACGTTGCTCTGACGTTGTTTTACAAACATTGGTTCAACTGCAGCCAACAGACGTTGAATTAACGTTCATTCATGGTTAAACGTACGACGTCGATTTGTAAACCAATCTCAACGTTGTTTTAACGTGGATTCAACGTTGAATTATGGTTGACGAGATTGGCAACCTAATTTCAACGTTGTTTTAACGTCGAAAAGTCAACCCTTTTTCAACGTCTATCCAACGTCTGGAAGGTCATTTCCAACGTTGATTCAACGTTGGATAAACGTCATTTTGCCCGCTGGGACTGTGGTAAAAGTCTTGGCTTTGGGGGAAATTAATTCCCTGCGCAAAAGTTCTTGCAATGATGGAAATCTGTGCAAAATTTTCAAATTGTAAAATGACTGCAAATATTTTCTGAAGAATTCGCACAAAATGCCTTTATGAACGGAGAACCAAGCAGATTTCTGATCTTCCTATATTTGACAAAAACACCTTCTGACTGCAAGATCTCTTGGTCTGCCATAAATTCTCTGTGAAAATATCTGACATTTCTGCGCATCTTTCTCAAGGAAAATATTTCCTGCGTAAAATAAAACTTGGCAATGGACCATTTGCATTATAGACTAAATTTTGATCTAAACAAGTCTAGACAAAAATTTCATCACAGCTTGAAAGAGCATCACAAAATTAGTAATATTCCAAAGTTTCGTTGCGAAATGTTGTAAAATACGGATAATATATAGCCTTGCGAAGTTTGCCGTTTTTCAGTCATTTTGCATTACGCGGGGGAAATTGACAGCCCAATACCCTTTGGGACCCTTTGGTGCTGTCAATTTCCCGTTTGTAATACAAAATGACTGAAAAACGGCAAACTTCGCAAGGCTATATTATCCGCATTTTACAACATTTCGCAACGAAACTTTGGAATATTACTAATTTTGTGATGCTCTTTCAAGCTGTGATGAAATTTTTGTCTAGACTTGTTTAGATCAAAATATAGTCTATAATGCAAATGGTCCATTGAGCCAATTCTTCGTCCTATTTTGACATCAACTTATCACTTAAACAATAACACTATGGTTTTACGAACTGATAACTTGTTTTCCAATACGGTCCGTTAGAAAAAACTGGAATTGGTTTGGAAAGATGGTGTTGAAACTATTTACGTCCTTCACAGAGCTATTTGACGTCATGGCCGCCATCTTGGCTAGGTTCTTGTTCCAGTTATATATTGAGCGCACTGGACAAAAAAGCTTACTTTTGCAGATGGATCCTGCTCCTTGACGGCGCTAAATAAAGTCTGAGGACGACCTCGTCCTGATGTCGGTGGTAGATGGTTCGTCTTGCCTGGGGGATTGCCGTCCGCTATAACCCAATCATTGCCATACACTCCAGTCTGGGTCACACCCATACTGGTCAAATATCCTGCCCAGTTTGGTGCGCTGACCTGAAAGTTGATTAGATTATATATTAGATTCATGATCAGATTATCAGATTAGCGCAAGATCCAACGATCTTGTTTGTCTTGCTAAGCTAAACAGAACTGTACTTCTAAACTGTTTTTCTTATTACTTTGCAGTTACTACAGGAGGAAACCTAAACTAAACTAACTTTATTTATACAGGATATTAAACTCTATCAGTTCTAAACTGTTCTTCCTATAGTCTATAGAGGTCCAGTAAGGATCATCTCTTAGCGATTCAGAGTAACAGGAGGAAACCTAATCTTTATTTATACAGAATAGCTCTATCAGTTCTAAACTGTTCTTCCTATAGAGATCCAGTAAGGACTGATCATCTCTTATTGATCTAGTCTTACTACCGGAGGAAACCTAAACTAAACTAACTTTATTTATACAGAATAGCTCTATCAGTTCTAAACTGTTCTTCCTATAGAGGTCCAGTAAGGATCATCTCTGATTATTGATCCAGTGTTACTCAGGAGGAAACCTAAACTAAACTAACATTATTTATGCTGGATAACTCTATCAGTTCTAAACAGTATTTTTTCCTAGTGTTACTAACTTACTGCAGGAGGAAACCTAAACTAAATTAAACTTTATTTATACTAGATAGCTCTATCATAAGTTCTTTGTATGTTTGCATGGCGATAAAACATATAACAGTTTTGTTTGTGGAAACACCACGTAAATTTACGTGGTGTTTCCACATACAAAACCTTTATATAGCTCTATCAGTTCTATACACTATCCTCTCTAGAGGTCCATGCAGTAAGGCTTTCGTTATAGATTCAGGTTTACTTGACCGACATGACCCTTGGGTTTTAGATATTATTTTTCATGATTTTCCTTCATATTTTATTGCTTCAAAACTGAGTGATCGCTTCTCACTTCTCAGTCGAACTTACAGTTGGCGCTAGATTTCTGCTCTCTGTCGTACAAGCACCAAAATCAAAGAAAGTCTGAAGTGCCGGGAGTTGATCTGATACATTTCTTAGATATTCCCCGCCAAATCCATCAATTCCTAGAAATACATTTAGACTGAGTAAATTTAAAGGGCACATCAGGGCGCATTGTCATTTAAAGGATTACCAGGATACATGGTCTGATTAACCCATTAAGTGGCAGCACTCTTCCTTAGACAAAGTAAAATAATACTGTAAGGCGCATCAGAACGCATTGCCACTTGAAGGACCAAAATCCTCGCTCTCTCGGGCAGATAGTTTTATAGGTTCGTAGATTGTCGCAATCGTTGACATTTCTAATGTTGTGAAATAGTTGTAATGCCTTGAACAAGCGCTTGCAAGTTCTCCGTCTATATATATTATATATACGCGTTTGATGGTAATGCTGGATCCCCTCTGGAGAATAATTAAATCGTTTAGTAATATAGTCATTAATGTGTATAAAATGATATTGAAGTTACACATCTATAGACTTTACATGTCCATTCTAGTTTCTTAATGTACAAACGTACCAATTATTACAGCGTGTTTGGCTGTACCAAAGCCTTTCGGATGATCTTCAACTTTATTTGCCTTGTGTAATAGCTTAAAGCCAAGTGAACAGAGGCCTACATTCAGTAGAATTAAGATCCCAAGTACACGCATTTTGCCGCGTTAAAAAAGAAGCAATTTCTTAACCGTATATATGCACCACGAATGATCTTCTCTTTAGAAAACGCTGTAAATATTTTTCAGGTCAGAGTTATGTAACCATCTACAATATCACGAGACAGCAATGACGAAACAGGAACTAATATTAAATTTCACAATAAAATAAACTTTCAACTACATGTAAGCTGAGTGTCTTCTCAGGAGAGAAAAACTTTGAGGTAAATCGACATTCATAGTATTGTTTTTACACGGCATTTTCTTTACCATAATCGTTCTATATTTTGTTACATTCATGCCATAGAATATGTAATACTGGAATACTGGTTCGATTCATGACATTCATGTGTAAATCTTGTGGTTCTATTAATTGTCAATAATTGACCTTCGATTGACTTGTTTTCTGTTTATGTTGATCACGTATTATATACTTTTGTTATTAATCTTTTACAAAACACTTGAATACATTGAATTATTATCTATTATGAATGTGATTTTTAATCGTTCAACAGAATACCAGAGCGTCTAGTTTATTTAGTTCAGTTTCCACATGTTGCATTTATTAATGCTGTAAGCCTGTAATGCATATTTGTAGCCGTATATAGGCTATTCCATCATTTTATCATCATAAGTCCGGTTTGTTTGATGTACCGCGGGCTGCAATAGTGTATACTGTCCGATAACAGCGATTCAATTAATCCCTGGTCGGACCTCTACTCAAAGTCTTAAAATAATTGAGGATCGAAACTGCTAGCAACCTTTACATTGACATGAGTCAGTAAACGGTTAGACTTTCGCGTCTTCTCGGATAGGGACGTTAAAATCGTAGGTACCTCGGATGGGATTTGAACTTTCATGCATATTGGCAACATACCCAGAGCTCATAGGGTCAAGCACAAAGTTTGCCAGTCCTAAAGAGTAAAGGGGAGTAAAGCCCAGCGCACACTAGAGTTATATGCTTAGCATGCCCAGCGCACACTAGAGCTATGTGCTAATGTGCTTAGCAAAATGTCATTCGTGACTGTTGGCGTATAAAGAAGAAAGCTCTCGTGTGCGGTGCACTTTTGTAAGTTTTTCATCACTCGTGACGCGTAAGACAAATATCCAACGTTTGAATATTTTTTGTCACGAATGAACATTTCTTCCACATGCGCGCGCTCAAAAAGCTATCACCTTAATTTCATTGCAGATCGAATAGGCATGCGTAATAAAACAAAAGACAAAAGGAAAATAATTACGAGGAATATTCATATGTCGCTACTCGAGTATCACATTCCTTATTAATTATTTTCCTTTTGTCTTATGTAAGTTATGTTTATTACGCATGCCTGTTCGATCTACAATGAAAGGTGATAGCTTTTCGAGAGCGCGCACGTGGAGGAAATGTTCATTCGTGACAAAAAATATTCAACACGTTAGATATTTGTCTTACGCGTCACGAGTGACGAAAAACTTACAAAAGTGCACCGCACACGAGTGCTTTCTCCTTACGCCAACAGTCACGAATGACATTTTGCTAAGCACATAGCTCTAGTGTTACGTCGGGCTTGGGTCAATCTCGTTTTGAAAGCGCTTGTGTTTTTTTGTTCTAGAATTCGGTGTATACAGTACATTTAGTAGAAGCCATGGCCATGGGTTATGTCAGAGCTTACGTCTTTATACTCGTTCCTGCTTTTTTCTGTGAAACTGCGGTGTACTGCGCAAGTATCCCTACCAGTAGCCAGAGCGCGCAGTCAAAACCTAAAGGATTCGGGACTGCCAAACGCGCGGTTATCATTGGTAAGTCACTTATTGGTGTTATACTGTAATCAGAGTTTCGTTCCTGCAATAGTATACAGTTGTCTGATTGTATTTTACTGATCTATTGATGTGAAAAGTTTTGAATGGATTGATAGAGATTATACGGACATTGTCGTTTAAGATGTCTTTTTCAAACGGTAGTTCAGACAAAAAACACGGCAGCTCATTGCAGAATTAGTCTAAGAATACTACTATGGCCTACACTGGACCACCATGTTGTCCATGTTCGAGATATCTTTATCACCTCCACGTTTGAGATATCTTTTTCAGGTACGTAGTATAGACACAAACCACGACAGCTTATTGTAGAATACCTGCGCTCCTTCCCCCAGCGGCTACGCTCGTGTTCCAAGATCCGCCATGTAAAGTGTAGTGAAATGTATCTCATTGTAATATTAAATCCTAGGAAAACTACTAGCCTCTGCGGAGGAGAGAGGTAGAATACTATCTACACTATAGACCACCACGTTTGAGATATTTCTCAGGTATTTCAGACACAAACCACGACAGCTTATTGTAGAATACTACCTGCACTGGACCACCACGTTTGAGATATCTATTTCAGGTAGTTCAAACACAAACCATGACAGCTTATTGTAGAATACTACCTACACTGGACCACCACGTTTGAGCAGGGCCGTAGCGAAGGGGGGTATTGGGGGGTGGTTAACCCCCCCCCCCAACTTTTTTAGAATTAACATATTCGGAAAATCAGCTTGGTCATTCGGAAAATTACGGCAGTAATAGTATAACAAAATTTTAGTTGTTTAGTTGTTTGTATCATATTACCCATACACGCCTTCGCCCATTTAGATTTTAGTTCTTCTAAATTGTAAGCAAATTAATTGTAAATTTCGACGTGCTAAAACTCTGGTTTCTGACCATCAGAATTCTGTCAAAACTTCCCCCAAAGTCCACGAAATGGCATTTCAGAGACTGTAAATTTAAAAATTTCCTCGGGCCTTTGGCCCTCGTCACCCCCTTATCAAAAGGAACTTCCTACAGAACTGCACGCTTCTGTAATATGTCTGTGCGTAAAATATGAGTATTTTTGTTTGTAAATTGCGTTTTCATTTTCCTGATAGCAAACACCTTCGTGGCTTCGTATGCCACGAAATATTCGGAAATTTTTTCCGTCATTCGGAAATTTTTGGCCTTCAATTTCCTATGCATGCTTAGCTACGGCCCTGCGTTTGAGATATCTTTCTCAGGCAGTTCAGAACCTATAAAACCACGACAGTTTATTGTAGAATACTACCTACACTGAACCCCACGTTTGAGATATATTTTCAGGTATACTAGATGTTCAGACACAAACCACGACAGCTTATTGTAGAATACTACCTACACTGAACCACCACGTTTGAGCCGATATATTTTCCAGGTAGTTCAGACACAAATCACGGCAGCTCCTTGTAGAATACATCTATACTTTTCTCTTATAGGTGTAGACGGTCTTGGGGGCGCTCACTTGAGAAATGTAACAGATTACTATCCAACATTCAGATCGTTTTTTGAACAGGGTTCTTACACCACTCGCGCTAGGGGAATTTTTCCAACTGTAAGTATAAATATTGTTTCTCCGTTGCACCGGCTTTAAATTACTTTAAAAGGTAGCTTGCATGGGGGGGGGGGGGGGTTTGGTTGTCATGTATTTATACTCATCTTCGACATTTCATGAATCCAAACCCCAACGAAGAGAAAAGGATTCGGTAAACAACATTTTGAGTGAGTAAAAGGTTGGGTAAATGAGGAGCACTGTCATTTCCAAAGCATCACGGACCCACTCAAATATTGAAGACTTAAAAGCAATGTCAACAGTCATATGTCAAAACAATATGTAACTGATCAATCAGGGTCACCATATCTTGATCATTTTTCGATTTGTCAGGAGGCAAGTTAAAGTACATGATTGTGTAGACAACATGAAACTTTAGACTGCAAAAAATTGCACAAGCAGTTATCAAACTCATGTCACAGAGGTGGCAAAGAATATGTGTGAAAACTGAATCGTATACGTTTGTAAAGTTTTTTTGGGTTGGGTAAAAAACATTTTGACATTTTAATGGTTGAATCAGCAAAATGTTTACCAAGAGGAACAGTTCTCTTCGATATTTTTCTTCTGCCATAAATAATGACCGGTCCCTAACTTGCGACATTTATTTCTCTAGTCAAGTGGGCCAAACTGGTGTTCCTATCTGACTGGATTGGACATTATGGAACATGGCGTGTTCGATAATACTTGGAATCCTGCGAGCGGCAATCCAGATAAAGAGACAAGCTACAGTATTCCACCAGTCACCGGACGTGGTCGACCCGAAACTATTTTTTCGCAAGTAAAGAAGAAGGATCCGAATCTACAGGTTGAAGATCAAATTGATGGCTAATCCATTATTCATTAAGACTCCGTGGACTGCTTGTTCCCAGCTTGTTGGGAAGTTGTCAACGGCCTTGTTGACAACTTGCTACAAAGTTGTTGAGCTCAACAGACTTGTTACAAGTTGTTCCAACAACTTGTTATCGTCCTGCAATTCAACAGGTTGTCAACAAGTTGTGAGTGACAACCTTGTAGCAACTTGATAAAATAACAGCATTGTTACAACTTGTTGACAAGCTTGCTACAATTAAACCTGTTATGAACACATCTTGTTGATAAGATGTGAGATTTTTACTTGTGTAGTCTATCTTATTGACAAGTGAGATTTTTACGTGTGTAGGCGCCTATAACCACGGAATTTCAACCAGAGCGTTTTTCTTTACCCAGACAGCAATGATGTTTACATGGTCATGGCTAAAATATTTCGCGGTCAACAACACAGACATTGACGTGTGGCATTGGGGAGGCGAAGGGGTCACATGTGGTAGTGATATCGCAAAGTGTTATCATTTGAAAGATACGAGCACGGTTTTGGCTGCCAAGGCAAATCTTGTGCAAAATAACCCAATTTTAACGTTTATACATTTTGGTAAGGACCCAGTCATTATTTATGGCGGGGGGAGGTGGGGAGGTGGGGGGGTGGGGGGGTCTTACCAAAGAGAAAAGTTTTTCTTTTGGTAAAAAGTTTTGCTAATCCAACCATTAAAAAGTCAAAAAAATGTTTACCCGCAACCTCAAATATCAGTTAAAACATAATTATTAATTACCCACCACTGGCCAAAAACTTTACAAAAGGGTACCATTCAGTTGTCACACATGTCCTTTACCACTTCTGTGTGATATGAGTTTGATAATTGCTATTTTCTGCAGACTAAAGTTTCATGTTGTCTGCACATGTACTTTCGGCTGCCTTCTGACAAATCGGAAAATGATCAAAATAGTGACTCTGATTGATTTACATATTGCATTCACATATGACTGTTGACATTGCTTTTTAGCCTTCAATATTTGAGTGAGTCAGACTTTGGAAATGACAGTAGGTTTTTATTACCCAACCCTTGAGTTGTTTTGTTTTTCATTTGCCCAACCTTTTACTCACTCAAAATTTTGTTTACCCAACACTTTTCACTTCGGTGCCACCCCCGTCATAAATAATGACCGATTATTATATGGCTTTTCAAAATTCTCTATTCTGATTGGTTAGCAAGCGGTCCGTAAAAACCCATATCCGGACCGTGGTCCGTATTTTCCGTATCTGGACCGGTGTCCCGAATGTCGTTTATTTTTAATAATTTTCCAATTGTGTGTCGTTAAAATTTACAGATAAAAATTTCAAACAACCAAATTGTTTTTGATTGAGCATGCATGCATGCCGTATATTGTTACCCAGTGAAACTGACGATAGCAGATTTGATTCGCGCGAAAAGCATATGCTCACAGACTCCGTTCAGCCATATAATAAACCGATTATTGACCTCGCTTGTTCGGTCTGTACTGTGAAATGTCGTTCGGTCCATACTAAAAAACCTCGGTCTGATATTTCACAGTACAGACCTCACGCTCGCTCACAGACCTGAAATTCTTCTCAGAAACGTTACAAAGGTTCCAACCTTTATGAAAAAAAGTAAAAAAGAAAGCCTTCCTAAATAATTGACAAACTATATCATGTTGTTTCACAACGCATTTTAGTCGTTAGCGTCATGCAACGGATACAAGTGTTCCAATCAATGCCGAAATTTGTCTAACCATATTGGGTACAAGTAATTGAGTATCCGTACAGCAATATGTTAACGAACATTGCCGACCACAAAAATTAACGCTCAAAAGTAAGCGCCTTAGCGCCCTTTTTAAATGGCTGTGCTCGCCGTTTCACGTCCCAGCACCCAAGCCAGCTGTCACCTCTTGACTGTTTTCGTAAGCGTTTTGTGGAAGCATTTCTTTTTCACATGCTACTCAAAAGTGATTTTCTCGTTTCAGATATGGTAGACCTGGCCGGTCACAACAAATGCTGGGGTTGTCCGTTATACTACCACGCTTTAAAGTCGGTAGAAATGAAAATTAAATTGTTGATTGATGCGTTAAATCAGACACAAGATTCATCTGGTAGGTTTGTAGCTAGACACGCAAAAATCTCACATTTGTAACAAGTTTGTCAACAAGTTGTCTTCGCACTGCTTGTCACAAGTTGTCAACAAGTTTGGAACAAGCTGTTAACAATTTGTAACAACCTTGTTGATATTATCAGCCTTGTTACAAGGTTGTTCCAACAAGTCCAATACAGTCATGATATAGCAGTATTGTTACAACCTTGTGTCGTCAACCATGTAACATTCTTGTTATATCATGACTGTATCAGACTTGTTAGAACAACCTTGTAACAAGTCGGATAATGCCATCAAGCTTGTTATAAGTTGTTAACCGCTTGTTCCACCTTGTTACAACAACTGGGAACAAGCAGTGCGAACACAACTTGTCGACAGCTTGTGAACAGATTTGTAACAATTTGTTTGCAGACTTGTAACAACTTGTGCGTTTTTACGTGTGTAGATCGAGGATGCGGACGTCAAAGAGGACGTGAAAACGGCGTGTTGTGCCCATGTATGGATTGCCACGCCATTTTAAGAGACCTAAAAAACTTCATTTGTACTAGCTAGGATACCTCTTTCAGTTCTAAACTTTTTCCGATTGAGGTCAAGCGGGTCTTCTCTTATTGCTCCAATTCCAGTATACTGCTAAAGGAGGAACCTAAACTAACCGTTTATTTACACCATAGATGGCTCTATCAGTTCTAAACTGTTCTCCATGAGATCCAGTATTCAGATTCTATAGTACTTAAAATACTCATTAAAAATTTATACACCTTGTGGCAAATCATGTCAGCCATAATATGTCACGTGGAGTGATTTTATATGTGATAAAACTCAACTTCATTAGTATTCTTTATATAATTCTTCATCCTAATTAGTATGATTAGGGACCGGTCATTATTTAAGGCGGGGGGTGGCACCGAAGAGAAAAGGGTTGGGTAAACAAACTTTTGAGTAAGTAAAAGGTTGGGTAAATGAAAAACAAAACAACTCAAAGGTTGGGTAATAAAAAATTATTGTCATTTCCAAAGCAAGACTCACTTAAATATTGGAGACTAAAAAGCAATGTCAACAGTCATATGTAAATACAATATGTGAATCAATCAGAGTCACTCTCTTGTCTATCTTGATCATTTTCCGATTTGTTGGGAGACAAATGGTGTCTCCAAAGAAAGTACATGTGCAGACAACATGAAACTTTAGACTGCAGAAAATTTCACAAGCAGTTATCAAACTCGTGTCACAGAAGTGGTAAAGGACATGTGTGACAACTGAATGGTATCCTTTTGTAAAGGTTTTGGCCAGGGGTGGGTATTTATTTTCTAATTGATATTTGAGGTTGGGTAATCAAATTTTTGACTTTCTAATGGTTGGGTCAGCAAAATTTTCGACACGAAAAATATTTCTCTTCGGTGCCACCCCCCACCATAAATAATGACCGGTCCCTTAGGTACAGTAAATTCTAAGTTTAATTTTGAAGGATTTGTAAGAAATGGTTGAGGAAACTGACTTAGTGTTAAACAGTGAGTCATTAATTCCATAGTGTGTTCCCTCAAACATTTCTTACAAATCCTTCAAAACTTAGAATTTATTTTACCGATGCAAAATTCCTACTGTGATTATACAGAAACTTTGATAGTGTAAACCAGGCTTTGTGGACAGCGTGTTTTTTTAATTCAGGTCAACCAATGCTTGATGGAACACTGATCGTGATTGTGTCAGATCACGGTGGCTGGAGAAACACACACGGTTTTAATAAACCGTTCAGTGCATTAGTCGACATCCCAATACTCATTCGCGGTGAGTATAGCTATTTCTGGCACCCCTCATCCCATGCAGGGCCGTAGGGGCGGGTGGGCAGCAGCCCGGGCAACAGCTGAAAAAATTTAACTTACTAATGTTATTATAAATTATATTAAGAGGCAATTTTTTCAGTGTCGCAATGTTCAAAACCTAAAATCGTTTTGACGTTCCCCTCAAAATTACTTAGTTGTGGCTTTATTTTGAAGTTTACACAGTTAGCGACCTTTTAAATATATCTGGCGGTTAAGAAACACAAAGAGCATGTTAAAATGAGTAAAATTGCAAAGTTTGGTTGCGAATTGTTGTAAGATGAGGAAAATATGGCCTGTGAAGTTCGCAAATTTTGTATATATTTGCATATCGCGCGGGAAAAATAACCATTTTTGAGCCGAAAGTGGTTCAGTTTTTACCGCGCGTAACACAAATATATACACAATTTGCGAACGAACTTCACGGGGCTATATTTTCTTCATTTTACAACATTTAGCAACCAACCTTTGCAGTTTTACTCATTCTAAGACGCTCTTTCTAGCTGTGGTGTTGGATTTCGTTCTTCTTGCCTTGATCAAAATTTATAGTCTATATAGCTGAAATCGCCCATTTCTCGTCCAAATTTAACCAAAATTGAATCGTGTAGGTCCAGATGCGCTAAAGAACAACAGTTTGGAAAGTAAATATGTGTCGAATCTCGATGTGGCAGCGACTGTTCTCAATGCAATTGGCGTGGAGAAAAGCGAATTTATGAGGGGCCAAGTTTTGGAACAAATTTATCCGTGAACATTATCAGTACCCGTTTGCGGTCTGGGTAAAAGGTGTAATTTAAAATGACGCGTAATTTAAAATGGCGGTATTAAAAATTATTCTAATTTTCATTATTTACAAAAGACTATAGGGTATAATCATAAAAAACTAGCGTGTATTGTTAGTTCGTAATTGTTGATATTTTCAACATATTCCGTCCATGTAAATTTCTTGTCGACTCGATTTATAGTTCAATGAAATTTACTGAAATATAAGGATATTAAGTAGATATTCAATGAATAAAAAGAACTCTTAAAATGTCTGTCTCATGTCCACACATATATGTTACACTTTGTATGGCTTTTGTCTTCCTTTATGCTTTTGTTTATCTCGGATGTGCGAATAGTCCGAATAGTAGGCTACGAATAGTCCGCGATATATATATATATATATATATATATATATATATATATATATATATATATATATATATATATATATATATATATATATATATATATATAAAGTGCCGCATTTGTCCTGTTTCCTTCAGGTTATAGAATCTGTTACAAAGCTTGCCCGGGATGAACCCATCT